TTCTAATATTATCGTGCTGTTTCATTTGACTATGAAAATCGCCATTTTCCAACCTAGGAGAATCATAATTGAGTTGTTGGTCAAAAATTAAATTGCTATTAATAGGATCTAAAGATGCTACAGAATATTTGGGAATTTGCTGTAAAGATTTGTGATCTTTTTTTATTCTGATGTTCTTCGTGTTGCTGATTGCATCCTGTTTTGATCTTCTATCGTCCGTTGTAACAAAATAATCAGTGAAACTTCTAGGATGCACCTTTGAACAGGTGTGCTCCTCAATTGAGAAAGGATTATTTCTCGAATTTTTATTATCTTCATTTATTGATGGGATCAATTTATTATTATTCCTGTTTCTTATGGATTCCTTGAAAGATCTTCTATTACTCGTTGTTAAAAGGCCATCATTCAAACTTCTATCAAATCTTTTTGGGGAATTTTGCTCTCTTTTCAGAGAAATATTCTTCTCTGCATTTTTCTCTAAAAAATTTTTATCTCGATTTACTAACATAATTAATTGACATTTTTTATTGTGCAGTTTTTGTCTTTTCTCAAGGCACACTTTGTAATCCTTTTCTGCGAACTCGTCACTTCTCGTCTTGTATTCTTCTTTAGGTTTGCATAGAGTATGCCTAATTGAGCGTCTAATATCTTTAGGGCTTTCTTTACTTTTTATAAAGGCAACTTGCTCTTCTTCATAAATATGATGATTTTCAATGGTTTTGCCGTTCCTTTCGTCTAATTCATAATTTCCTCTAACTAACTTTCTTTCTAAGACTCCTTCTTCTTGCTTAAAAAAGGCTTTCGGACAGTTTTTCAAGTTATCGGCATCTTTTTCATTCAACCAAATTATATTTCTTTTCAAAAAGCCGTCTTTTGTATCTTCATACGTAATTTCCTGACTACTTTTCAGAATGTCAGCCTCTTCTTGTTTTAACCTGCTCATACATCTTTCAGAAAAGTCTCTTTTTTCCTTTTTAAAAAGAACTTTCTGACACCCCTTAAAAATTTCATCTTTGTCCTTGTTCGATCTAATTACAGTTGCTTGCACTAAATCATCTTCCTTCTCCTTTTCAAGGCTTTCTTGATTATCCCCTTTATTCACTTTGATCATATCTCTTTTTGCATTTCTTCGCATCGAAACGTCTACTTCTCTTTCTTCAAAAAAACTCTCCTGATTACAACTTAAAGGCTTACTTTTTACGTCGTTCGCTTTAATCAGATTGCTCTCTGAGATTTTCTCCTCCTCCTCCTCGAAGACAATCTCCTCGCTGTTCTTCACAATTTCCCTGTTTACTGCTTCTGGCAGTTGTTCCAGCTCGTCGTTTTCCATTACCTGAATGGCATCGAAATCAAACATCTTTGATTGATCATTGCTTGTGGCATGAGGCTCGTATAAAATACAATTTGAACATTTGCAGATATTTGGCCAACAATATTCATCTTCCGTGCTGTTATGACTCTTTGTGCAGTCCAAGGGCGTCAAAGACAATTGTAGATATTGATGGTTGGTCGGATGACAATTGCATTCATATTCTCCCCTCATTAAACGATCCTCGTCGATTAGAACACCTGAAATACAATCTGCAACTTAGGGACTCGTCAGTTTTAATCAATGATCGAGATTGTTTGTCAGTTAATATTGTTATTTATATTTATCCTTATCATGCTAAAGACAGTTTCCCAGAAAACCCAAAATGAAGCGATCCAACATTTTATATACAATAACCCAGGAAAAAATTAAAAAAAACACTAAAACAAACTATTTACATATGTACATATTGTATCGTATATTACCTTGTTTCGTATTTTCTGGATTAAAGTATATAATTAGTAAATGAAACAGGAGAGCCCTTTATACACCAAAAGAAGTTCTAGGACCAAAATACAGGATCATTAAGGACATAACTTTACAGTTCAACATTTTTTATTCCGTTTGTACAATACACATAGACTACGCATTAAAAATTGAGACAAAAATACTGCATTTGAAAAAATCGAATATCATTCAATCTCACTACACTTACAATTAACATTCGTGATAGACGATTTAGTGGTTTTGCATTCTATACTTTTTTTCTTTAGTCTTTTTATTTTTGCAGTTTTTATACGAGTTTATAAACTCAAAATATCTGACAAAACTTTATTGCTCTTGGGTAACTTTTAGCACAATTGCTTTTTATTTACGTTCTATCGTATGATACAAAGTCAATAAGTCACTAGCATACGTCATATGGAAATAAAGATTGAAAAGGTAAAATGAGTTAAATTCTAATGTATCAATCTTCATTTGCTTCGTGCTTATTATATTTCAGTTTAAGTAGTAATATGCGTATGTCATAATAAATAACGTGCTGTATGTTATAATAAATAAATTATCAATGCGATTTTAATAGAATCTCAATTTACAATGCATCGTCGCTATAGCATTTAAATAGACAATCACAACCAAGCTCAATAAAAATTACAAAAGATTTGGGTAGTTTGTTCTTGTTTCCCAATCTGGAAATGTAATTTGAGTTTTATAAATACGCCATAAAGATCATCGTACCTTAGTTATCTAATTTATTGCATCGGTTATCTAACGTATAGTTAGGATGTGATTCGTTCCTTCAGAATTTCAATCTCAGCTCAAATCTTTCAAATACACGTGTTATCAAAATTATTCTAATTCATTTATCTCATTTATTGCTGATTTTTCTCTAGTTATATACAATAATATATAATCAAGGTACATCTTTTATTCCTTCCCTATGAAATACGAGAAAAATTATCTAAATTTTCGTAAGAAACGAGAAATGTTGTTTCTTCATCATTCAGCTTTTCGTTTTTGGTTTATTTCTACGTTTCTCGTCGCTCTTTAGTTTATTCCAACGTTTTCTAGCCAAGATAAATTACACTCCAGGACAATCGTCGATAGACGGAATGTCAATATGTAGTTTGGACGGTTTCTGAGAAGAACGATCTTGATGGATGAGGAAACCTGTGCTGTCGGCTTGAGGGAGCATGTTGAGCACAATTGGGGCATTCTTCGACTCGCTAGGAATTTTCTTGAGGCTTCCATCTGTGGTACAGCCAGTACCAGATGGTCAGACAAACACAATAATGAACAATATGCGAAAACTAAAGAGAATTATCAATCTCAGTAAGCAAACTACCCGCGATATGACAACTGATTGGCAGCAGATTTACTCAGATATTGCAACAGATCCAGCATCGTCTGTATCTGCATAAAAAGAAACTCGTGTTTTGTCGAACAGATTATCAGTAGAAACCGAACAGAATCTGTTCGTTTCGTAAATATTGAAATACAATGCATAATTTTAATAATTGTGGCCGATTCGACTCATTTTCTGTGGTCAATTATTATATTCTATTAACAAATTCTGTTAGCATATTCTATTTGTAGATTTTTATTAATTAATTTTTCGTTTATTATTGTAAAAGTCGTAAAATAATTAAGATTTTTCTATTCAGTTTACTAGATCTGTTTGCCTATAAGCTTGTGTCAATAATTGTGTCAATAATTATCAAACGTTCTGTATTTCTGCTGGCATTCTGTCAACAAAATTTGTAGCAGACACTTGAATTGGCTATTCGGGAATAGGCTGGAATTTGCTTGCGATCCATTCATACTAAGCGTTAACATGCTGGCAATTGGCACATTTAATAGCTTTTTGCAACAATTATGAGACTTGGAAGCTTCTGAATAAAGAAAGAGAAATTATGTATATATTTAATAACATGCAATAATATTAATTTTTTATCCGCGGGATTAGTACTCTCCATTAAAATTAGGTCAGTTTAAAAACGTTTATGCGTATACGCGCACGCGCGTGTATGTAATATAAGATTTTAATTTGATTGTAGATAGCTTTATTAAAATCTAAAGACTAGGTTTGGTTATTAACATAGCTGTTACGAGGAGGAAATACAAATTCTTCAATATTGAGTTTCAGATAATTGTAAGTGAACACTGTGATACATCGTTTTATAACATTATACACCAACGATTATACACCTGTTCCAATTAACAAATGTACATAGAAAAAGTATCTCAGATTAGACAAACATTTTGATGCGGTTTCGATTAGTTGTAATACGGGGAAATATTAATTGTAATATAAATACATAATGTAGATAAGATTTGTTTTGTTATCAGTATCTCGATAACCGCAGAGAATTCGATCTCCATTGATATGATATTTCGCCAGAAATTAGCTCCAAATTCCATGAATGAAATTTGTATTTCCTCTTACGTCTATCTTAACTTTTGATTTGCAGTAACCTTATTTACAATTTTTATACGCCACAATTTAATAATTACAATTGCAAGAAATATTTTGAAACAAATGCATGGAAAAACTGAGATGAATTTAGTATTTTGGATATACTTCATGTTTATTTAATAAAGAATCGAGAGGCTTAGACAGTTAGTTCACGGGAGAGAAATTGATCAAGTGGTCACGTACCAGTTCCATGACGAAGTTCATCCTGCGCCTTATAAAATTCCGCGAGTTCCCTGCCGGAGCACAGTGGGGTGTCAACCTGAGTGGTGCTATTAAACAGCGAATAGTCCACCTCGTAACCTTGTCGTTCCTTCGAGTAGCTTACCATGGGGTCGAAACGATGGCCCCATAGGACCTCCTGTGGGAGATAACTGGACCTGGCCTGAGTAGTTTGTCCGGTGGACTCGACAGTGCCTTCTAAGATTAGAACGACTTCGAAACGTTCAGTCAACATGTCCTCGGCGGACATATTGTAGAAAGGCGAGGACTCGTTGATTCGGTGGATGATGGTGGACGGCCAGATGAAAAACAAATCGCCGTTCTCACCGTCGGTACCTACCACCAGTTCATGCTGGTGTTGAGACAGAATTTCACCCTCCTTGGTTGTTTTGCTGCGAATCATTTGTGCGCGCACACTCGCGCTGATTATGTGACTCTTCCTCATATCGCCCACCCGGAACATAAGACAGAGCTCACCGTCCCGTTGACAGATGACGGCATTTCGCGAAAATAATAGTGTCTGGGTACGCTGTTTTGGCCTGGTCATTTTGGCAAATACGATGCCCACCTGCAATTAATTTCTTTTAAATTAAATTTCATTTTTCACAACCCCCCCTCTCTCTCTCTCTCTCTTTTACATTTCAATCGCAACAATATTTAACATATTCTCCGAACACACTCACCATGAAAGCTTGGATCATGACGCCAGCGATACTTTGAAGGCACATAATAAATATGGCCTCGGGGCATTCTTCGGTAGTAGAACGGCTGCCATATCCGATAGTGTGTTGGGTTTCGATACTAAAGAGGAAGCAGCTGGTGAAGCTGAAAATGTTGTAGACACACGGGGTCCAGTTGTTCTCCACTTGAAAAGGTGGCAAATGCTGTTCTTCAAAGTCTCCGTGGGTGAAGGCTATTAGCCACCAAATCACCGCGAAACTTAGCCAGGATAAGATAAAACTCAGGATAAAACATATCAGCGTCCAACGCCACTGTGTGTCCACTAGCGTTGTGAAGATGTCCTGCAAAAAACGCAGCGATCGCCGGGATATGCGCGATTGCAGCACATTGCAATCGCCATTCTTCAGGACGGCACGACGACGCAACTTCCGCGTCGGTCCAGCCCGGTATCGACTCCTGAAATATAGATACGATTTTCGTTAAAGTATGTTGAAGCAAATCATTATTTAATAGTTTACATTTGATTGTTTGAATATTAGAAGATCGTTTCTTTCAACAATTTAATTATTTAACATTTATTTATTTAAGAAGATCAATTAGGGTTTGATAATTTCGGCTATCGGATTTGAATATTAATTGAATATTAAGATATTTGTATATTAATACCTAATTTAAAATTGCTGATGCTAATGAGCTTAAAAACTATTCCATTAAAGAAATTTATTGCGAAAAATAACTACATAATCCACAAATTAATACTGGACAGACAATCCACTCGATAACATATAAAACGTCAAATTTATTTTCTTTAGATCACACACATATATCAATCATTATTTACATCTACTTTATTTAATTTTATCTAACTTTTTAAAAATTATATATAGCATATTGTTCTCTTAAAAATGAAACAAGTAAAAAAATTTATACAACCAGATGAAAGATTTAATAACATCTTTGTGGGGTATTTTTAATAAGTATTTGTAATATCACTGTAATATCAATTAGCAATAATATGAAATTTTCGATTAATTGTGAGTCACAATGTCGTTCTTCAAGAGAAGATTGGCTAAACTATAATATTATAGATTAGATTGTTCGATACTATGACATTACAAGGTGTAGTATCAGAGAGGCAATCATAAGCATGTAGATCTGATAAAAATGACTCTATAAGTTTAATAAACTTTTTGTACGACGTGTCACTGCGAAGATATCCGATTTTCAAAGTTAAGATTTGAAATTATAGTTTTGCATACTGTTCTCCAGCTGCTGATAGCTTGTAATAATTGTGGTCGTATTAAAATTAGATGAAATACTTTGGTTGTTTGTGCAACAATAATTACATTTTACTTTCAATCATCCATTTAATATATATTTTTCTTTGTCCCTCCGTCTTTACTTACCGCGGATATCTGCGCATTGTTCGTCATCATTCTTGCACTTTGACATAATGAATCCAAAGCGTAAGTTGTAAAATGTTTCGGAGTAAAGGCTCTGATATGCCACGTTATCGTACTTTCGAGTTATTTGCTATACGCAGACCACACTTCATCCAACACAACACTTTCTAATTGCATTTAAGTGCGTCATCACGTTAGGTTTCGACATAATAATTTGTGTATTAATCTTGATATAATAAATACATTTAACGTTTATATAAAATAAATTATATATTTTATATAACTGCTAAATTTTATTTAACGCCAGCAGATCCCATGTATAACATATCGTGACCTCGATGTCCATGAATCACTTGTATACACATTAGCGTATAATGGACAAATACTATGACTGGAGATTCGCTATTGTTTATACGAGATATCACTGTTAGCGATTCGACACCGCAGAGAAGACTCTCTCGAGAGAGCCAGATCTCCCTTTACTGTCATATACAAAAAGGAAGTCGCCATTTTAACTTTGAACGATAACCGCGCAGCTGTTATCTACCAATTTACTTATTGCTGCCACGCGTTAATCAATTGCCGCGAGTCAGTGACGGCATTCTTCACTTCCGCCGTCTCCTCCGGATCGATGATTCCGATCAGCTGATCGTACATATTACACTTTTGATTTCTATACTTTGTTTTAATTTATAAATTCTCTCCGCATTATTAATAAATGTTAATTAGGCAAATTACTCAATTACTGGATTAATTCGGAATAGTTCCGATATAAAGATGTAATTATTTTATTTAGTTTCCTGTTTTGAAATCTACGGGATGTAATGCATAGTGATATATTTTAGAACATTTATTTTAAAAAAATGCTCACAATACTTATTTATCAAAAGTCATTGTCAAAGATAAAGAAAATAATTTATAACATATTTACGTCAGTTGGCTCCGGAATAATCTAAACTTATCTGATGATTTACGGGATGAAATTCCGCTATTCTAACATCTCATCTTTTTTATGGGCCGTTTATCCGCGCGACCTCGAGCAATCTGTCATTAAGATACCGTTGTGGATCTCTAATCCTCTTATCAAGCATCACAAGATTCTGATAAGAATAGCAGTTGATGAATAGACAAATATTAGCCATTTCTGGAATACTGCTTGTGCAAAATCTAAAATATTTCGCAAAGCAAAAAAATAATTCAGACAAATACCAGGGGCCAAATACACGAACATTTAATTAATATTTATCTTTCTGAAGAAGATTTAAACGATAACCAAAAAATTCATATTATACATATTATTATAATTATATAATTACATACCTTGGATATTTTAATACATATACATGTAAACATTCTATACGTTTATTATTTCATATCAGCTTAAATATTCTTATTTAGTTCTTTTTGAGTTTTCTACAAACAGGAACTATTCCTTATTTCATTTATTTGTAAATTAAAGAAAGATTTACAGTTTAATAAATATTAATATTGTAGAATTATATATAGATATAACGTTTACAGCACATTAAACAATTAATTTGCGCTCATACTTTTTGTATTTCTATTCCTGTCACATACATTTCTTGATAAATTAATTGACTGTAACATAATGCTGTTCTTCGATAATTTTTTTATCAGAATAATCACGATAAAATTCTTCTTACAAGTCTGTTTTGAAAGAGACCGATATTATCAATTGCTTCGTCACCATCATGTTGTTATTAGGAATGCAATTATTGTGCACTTTTTTATGCACTGCGCAATAATGATTATGAACAGTACTCATAGTGGTAGTATTGATTACTTAACGAAAAAAACTTCTTATTCATAAATAAATACATACATTTGCTTGCATACATATATAAAAAAGCACTTCTTATTTACCATTAAATTACTATAAACATTAAGAGGGAGCTTATAGACAAAATCTCCAAGTTCTTTTAGTTACTTCGGAAAGTGTTAATCAAATATAATATTTATTTATTAAAAAACTATTCACACATCTTCCAAATTCGCATCGGTATATTCTTATTACTTTCTTCTGTTTCTTTTTTATATACGAATATGATATTACGGTAGAAAAAATAGATATTGGAAATATCTTCGTTATTAATCAATTGCTGCTGATAATCGTAAACATTTTTAATAAAAAATTTCAATTTAAATTACAAAAAACATATTTTAATACCATATTTTTTACATACAAGTTGTAACTCTCATGGACAGATTGAAAGGGACATTAGATTGTCGAGAAAGAAAAAGAAAGAACTTAAAATAAATATATATAATAATTTTAATTGTTTATAAGAAGTTTACTTGTATCCATATGAACGGCTTTTTAATTGGTAAAGTTTATATTATGATCCCTCGCTTTTAAAACACGCAAATATAATGCAAGTGTACTGAAATATTTAAAGACAAATGTTGACATTTCTTATTTATCCGAACATATACTTTCATAGCAAAAAACTGCACTGCAAGCAACTTAGGTTGCATTAACCCAACAATATTGCTACTCATGATACTTTCATCATGAGTTTTGTAATTGACATATGAGATCACAAAGGAATCTGTATACTGTTTAAATGAAATAATGAAAAAAATTTTATACGTATTTCATTCGCCTTTACCTGCTGTATTTCAAGGAAGAGTACGGGTTTTTTGTCACTTGCACGATCATCGGCGTCGTCGGTGTGGTCGGTGATATTAGCTTTTGTTCTTCCCCGCAATCCAGCGATGGGGATTTGTCGCCCATCTTCAACACATTGCCATTCATCCCGCTCACTATAATGTACAATGCTAATCTCAATATCGAATGGATCCTTTAATAGTGAAACAGCTACGAACGTAGTCTGTTGGAGGTATTTTGAATAAATACTTCAATAGCATTCAACATTCGTGTATTCTTTCGTGTATCAAATATATTTATTTTATAAAAATTCAGAATTCTTTAAAATGTTTTACTCTTCGCTCTCAATTGTTATTTCTTCAATCGGATCTTAATCTAGAATTTTCTAACGTTCTAAAATTTGCTTTTGCATGTTTCTTTTCATTGAACTTCTTGTTCTCACAAAGACATTCAAGATAATCTACAGAGATCCATTCTTCATTGTTGATCGCTATTGCTAGCTTTCACTTCAATCAAAGATTCTTTAAATTAATCTTCTAATATAAAGACACATATGCAGAATTGTTGCTAACTAAATCTTCAACACTCGTGTACTTGTTTTTCTTTTCTTCAGATCTCCTTTCTGTGTACGTTTATGGTTTTCCAAAGTTAGAAGAATCGTTTTGAAATCTTAGAGATTTCTCTTCTTTAATCAGTTTTTTAATCTGTGGATATGCTTACGGAATTAACAATAAGATCTTCAGTCTTCGGTATTTTTCTATTAAACTTCTTCTCACCACGGAAGTACAAGCTCTCCGGATATTTACTCTTCACTCTTAACTTTCGTATTCAATTGTGATTTCTTCATCTGTCCAGTCTGCGATTTTTAATCAGTCTTATGATTTGCGATGCACTTATTTATAATGATGGGATGATTCGATGAGTTAGATAACACACGCTTCAATCGACTAAGACACATGTGTTGGTGGTAGATCTACCTCTGCAAGATAAACTGCTGCAAGCAGCTGGTCATCTACGATGTCTTATATATGTAGCACGCACTGACCATCGAGCACCATTTATCGGTCACTAACAAAACGCTATTTGTTCCTCCTATTCTCGCGAAGAAAAGGTGATCACTCGCGTCGATTACGTCACTCGTGCATGAACAAATGATCGGTTCTGCTTTTGGAAAATCCATAATTATCCAGCACACAAAAGTCACGATATAGTAATCACATGATGTAGATAATGATCACTTATTCTTTTATATGCAAGATAATTATATCACTCGTATAAACATCTTTTGATAATCGAATATTTGTAGAGTCACAAGAAAGCAATATAATTTATCTACAATAATGTTTTAGTTACTTGCAGTTTTTAACGTTGGAAATAGATTTGTGGAATCACATAACAAAAAGTGAAAAAACTGGTATAACAATGCTCGAATAGGATGTTATAAAAACAATTTGTAATATAAATTTCACACTTAGGAAACATCATATTAATGACAAATCTGTTCGTTTTAATTGCACTTTTTGTGTATCGTTGTTTCCTTTTCTTCTTTTCCCGTGATAATTAGTAGTCACATGATCAGTAATAGTCATATGATCCAGGCTGTCACACTATCCGTCACACTAGATATACAAGGTGGACTGAAATATCAGTATACAGGGTGATCGAAAGTCACTGAAGATTTAAATATTAATGCACACAGTAATTAACGAAGAGATATGTTTTAGTTTCTAATTTTTACTTATATCTATTCCCTCTTCTTCGAAAATGCAGACTAAAAATTATTATAAATATGTTTAAAACTTTGGCGATAACTTTGTGATTGCGCAGCGCATGACGAGGCAATTAAATTCATTAACTTCGTATTATTTACAAGTTAAAACTTGGAAAAATATCGCAATTATTAACTGTTATCGCAAAAAGTTCGAATCTAAATGAACGATCAAGGCTAATGAGGAGAGATGATGAAAACGACTTCACGATTCACGCGCGATTCTTGTTCGACTGACAGACTGACGTCGCGTACTTCTTATCGGCGTCTTGGCATCTTGTTATCAGGATCTGACTGGCTGCTGAAATTGCGCTGATCCATGCAAAACATGTCCAGACAAAACGCTATCTTTTACTTCCTAACCTTGTGAAATAACTTGTGAAGTTTTTTTTTGTCAACATGTTTTTAAAGCATTAGACCACAAGATATGTGAAAACAATTTATATAGATAAAAGAATGCAATAAAATTTTATTAATATTTACCGCAATAAACATCGCCGCACGTCTTATTTTTAGTGACCGAATTGGTATAAAGACCGTCACGGATTGTCCGGAGGTTTGAATTCTGGCTCGGATAATATTTTTCGCAATAAATTCTTTACAGTAATTTAAAAAATATGCTTTTTAGTATCAAAAGTTAAATCGATTATCTAAGTATGTGGATTTACTGTTCCAATAGAAAGCTGTGTTTTAAGGTCGACGAATAATCGGCACGCAATTTACTGCATTAAGAAAAGTATTATATACAAAATTCATACAGAAATCTTATTATTAGGCTACCAAGTTCCAATTCAATAAAAAATGACATCTTCTTTAATTAATTAAAAAAATGTTATTCTTCAAATAATTATTTTTCGAATTTGAACAATATTGTGGTCTCTTAGATCTTAAATATTTTGGTTCTAAAGACATCTCAGATTTAATTACAGTTTTCTCCTAATATTTGGCATATAAATTAATTAATTTCCATGATTTATGAATAATCAACTTTGTTACTTTGTAATTAATTATGTCTCTTATCTCAGTTTATGTCGTAAATTGTTATTGTTATCTAGTAAATTAATTTCTAGATTAATTTTATATTTAGAAATTTAAATTTAAATTTTTTTAAGCTTTATATTTATATAGTTATACATATAATAGAATTAAATATTTATTACTTTTTTATGTAAGATTCTTCTCTTATCTAAGGATTTTGAGTCGTGACCTAATTAATAAGATTTAGTGATAATAATGAGATAAAAAAGCAATTTTAAAAGGAACAAATATTTATTTTATCATAGAAAAAGAAAGGAAAAGAATTTATGTCTTATCAAATAATAACTTTAATTGTCACACAAACTGTAAACTTTGTAACCCAGCATTAAAACGACAAACAAATGCGAGACATTTGCACCAACCATCTCTTTCGTTTGGACCTCATACAAATGGTTTTTTTCGTTGAAAATCTTAATCTCTCTTGATCCATGATCAACACAATCTCGATCTATGTGAATTAAATGCGCAGAAAAGGACCGACACGCTTCATTCACGGCCGGATCAGATCTAACTAACCGTTATCACGTGACGATAACGAACCTTTCAATTAAATTAACGAGCAGCTCCGTTTAACAAAGGCTGCACAATTGATGGTCCCTCTTCCCTCTTTCCCTTTGTCGATCGCAAAATTGATCATAACTTCTTCAATAATTACGGAAACTTTTCTTTCAACAAGTATTATACACTTTTGATTCAATAAATATCCAAATAAAAATCCTGTATCCGTATTAAAACGATTTATTAATATTGACAAATTCGGAGATTTATACTAAAAGTTATATAACATTCATTACACATACATAGGGAGAATAATGAAAAAGAATTAAAAATCGATTAGAAATTGCCCACACGTAATCATATATTGTATAAACGTAATAATCGTACATAAAATATGATTATGTATGATTATATATTATATGGAATATTATATATCATAGTAGAAATTTTGCTAAACGTTTTTGTTAAAACAAAACAGTACAAATGTTATATTTCCAATTATTTTTTAGTTGTCTCAAATTTACGATTACCAGATAATAAATATTCCAAAAAACAGTCACGTATTGATGGTTCGTTGTCCGCTTGAGTTGTCAGCTTTCTTGCGAAAACAATTTTTATCATGTTCCAAATATTTGAAGGATTCAGATTTTATACCTACGCGCGTACGTGCACTCGCACATATGAACATGAGAAGTATAACTCCAGTCGAGCAACCTTCACGTGGCACACTTTGGATAACGTTAATGCCGACGATATTTGAAGATACATAAATCAGAAAATTAAAGGATTATTGGAATAAAAGATTTATATTTCACAAACATCTCGACATTAATTACAAGAATATGAAGATAAAAAAAAGGTCATTCGTATTTCAAAAACCTACCTAAGATCAAATTAATTGCATCGTTTCATGTCCCCTTAAAAAATTTTTACTTTGAATTTATTTTTATTTAAAATGTTTTTGTAAAGTTAATATTTTCGGTAAAACTAAATGAACTTTGTATAGTATGTTATACAGGGTGTTTATCAAAATAATACACATGATTTTTTAAACATTTGTGACTCAAAAAAATACTGTAACGAAAACCTTGATCGGTTTCACACACAACTTGCGATTAAAGAACATTTTTTTGATTGACAATTTTTTAAATAAAAATTTAAGGTACTTTATATAACATTTGTATTGTATTATACAAGAGAAAATAATACATAATAATTAATTTCTTTGCGACTGTAAAATACATATATGAAGGTAGACTCCATGGCTTAGTAAATTAAATAAGTTTCAACCACGGACTTCTATATATTATACTAGACCGTTAACTTCTAGTAAATTTGTATGACAGACGTGAAGCTGGCTCATTTTACACTTTCTGCATTTTTTAGCGGCAGCCATCTTTACTGTGGGCAAGAAATTCGTCTACGCGGTGTCTAGAAACTACGGACTTCTGTACTTAACATAAGTGGTACAGGGTTAAAATTTCTACATTTCGAAATGTGACACCTTGTATATGCACTTTTGCCCACACTAAAGATGGTGACGCGGCTTCACTGCCAACGTCTCAGTTAGCGGTCTAGTATAATATATAGAAGTCTGTGGTTTCAACAACGTACTATATATGTTTCGACAAACAAACATATTTAATAAAATTCTTTCTTTTTACAAAGAAACATAAATAAACATAAATAAAAGTCGTTCTCGTTCGTTTGATAAATTTTGTTTGTAACACCAAATGATAGCAAGGTTGGGTTCAGTCATTTCTAATAGGTAGAAGCAGAGACGGCTTTGCTACGACGACAAAATTCTTTTTCGCCATGTAAGAACCTTGCCTGTCAATGATAAAAGTAAATGTAATACATCAACGTATCGTCATAAATACGAGAATAAGCCCGTCACCATCAGGCACAATTAACGCGCAATTGATGTGTCGTCTATATTGCGTGTTAAATATGCATGCGCAAACAAGATTACCACGTGCGTTTACCCTTTACCTGCCATATTTCTTATGAATCGCCATTTATCAGATCCCATGCGCGACATTATTATCACAAAATTATACCTGCACGTTACATGTTAAACTAGGTACAGCGTAACGTCGCAAGGCTTTCATTCGTATGTTTTTTGTTTTAGAATAATTCGCCCATACGTCACAATTTTAACAACGCAATAATTATTTTTAACTTACAATAAAAGTAATGCTTAAATTTTCAGAGCGCGGCAGTAAATGCGAATTATGATTACTATTAGATACACATATAACAGAAAATGAGATCTTTTTATATAGAACGATACGCTTATACTTGGCGCGAGACTCTGCCGTGTCTCTTGATATAACTGTCTTTATTAAAGTTACATATCGTAAATTTAAAATTGAACTATATACAATTTAATCTAATTTTATGTTATTTTTCTCAAATGTTTAAGTGTGAATATAACAATAATAATATTAAATTACTGAGTGACTTTTTTAATATTTACACATCTTATTAAATTGGTATGTTGTCAACAACTCACGAATGATTAATCATGAAGATATTTTTAGTCGTTACTCATAATTTTCAACATCTAAAATACTTTCCAGAATCATTCTCGTGTTGTTGAAATTATCGGGATCTCCCAAACACCGCCATCTAAGTTTAATGTTTCAATTATCGAAATACGTCATTCTGTTTCTTTGCCTAATCTGTTTAAAACCGTGGAAACCACCTGTTGAGCAGAGGCGCCGATAATTACTCGACAAACGTAACGTGCCCGCTTTTAGCAGGGCGTTGTTCCAAAAATAAACAACTTCGCGACGGACTCGTGATCTCGTTTAATATTTTTAAAACAGAATCTGCATTATCTGAATAAAAAAAAAAGAATGAAGAAATTTTCAACAAATGAAACAATCTGAGTCAGATAGCTTCTTACCTGGTAGAGTCCTGTCGACCGATACCTCCGGCGATACTACTACTTTGAGTGCTGACCCTGATGAGAGTGACATTCCTTGGTAAATTAGGAAGTGTTGAGCTTTTTTGGCCCAGAAGAAGAGATTCCGTTGCGTTGTCTAGCAATTCCTTCACTTTATGTCCCTCCGTTCCTTTCTGTTGTTCCTCTTCCTCCTCTTCTTCGATAGTACCCGGAAGCCGAAAGAGTTTCGACGATTCATCCATCATCCTTTCTTTTCTTCAAGAAGAAAATCGCTCTAATTTCGACATTGCGGCAGCATTCTCTTTCTTTCTTCCTTTCTAGATTTGTTAAAATCGATTTTCACGTTAACCATCTCATTTCGATCTTCTTGATGGTTTCTTCAATTTTGTGGTATGCTATGTGGCCTGGTTGTCCGTCTCTTTATTATTTTTTTTGGTTGCTAATTGAAATGCAATGATTCCGATTTGATCTTAGAGATGAAATGTCGATTATTCAGCATCGCTCGATCTTCGTAGGTTCTGGACCTTTGGGGTTCCTGTGTAAATAAGAAATTGCATTTGACAATTGAGAATTTTTTATACATTACATTACGCTAATTGACAAGCACCTTGTTACGTATGTGTGATCAGCATATTACGTAAGTAATAATCCGAGTAAGCGAAAGAAGCGTTTTCTTGCTATTATAAAATTATGGATGTTGCAATCAATAAGTTTGTCAATATGACGCAACATACGATTGAGAATTTTCAATCGTAAAAGAAGCAATCAGTTAGCAATTACCGGAATAATTTTGCGTCAGCAACGAAACGACATAAAATCTATTTCTAAATTGATGATTTTACTTCCAAGTCATTCATAAAAAATGAAGACTATGTATTATAAATGTGTCTTGTAAAGATTTCTATACAGTATGGAAATATTATCAATTTAATTGCACTAGCAATGTTGTAAGACAATGGGTTCTTTTACATTACATTATGTTTTAATTATATAAATAAAATATCTCATTACTTGACTTTGCAATTTTTCTACATTAAGCTTCTTCAATCCTTAATTAATTCTTTCCAGCATGTTTTTATTGATACATATATTGATACATTGATAGAAGTGATATTGACATTGTTTATATCATTTTGGAAAAATATTTTACAATTATATTAAATTTAAATTCTAATAAAATTTCTATTCTAATGGAATCCCTTCAAGTATTATCAATTTTTCTTCAAATAAAAAAACGTAGAATGACTGAATGCATCTGTTGATAAGACAAGTTTTGGAATATATTGTAGATACATATTTGAGACTATATTGAATTTTATATATTTTAATATATTAGTAGACATTTCAAATATATTCTAATATTCTCTCCCTCTCTCTCTCTCTCCCTCTCTCTCGTGTATTGTCACTATGTTTATAATTTTCTACAGCGTTGGTTAATATAGGTACACAATATATTACATAATGTACGTAGTAATGTCGTTCTTCCCACACATTTCCTAAAGAATAAAATGGCATACCTTTAAAGGTAATTGTAGCTTTTCCGCGCTTTTCCAGTTCACAACGAGCGCACGTATGCGTGTCACGCTTACGACTGTTTTAAATTCACCCATGTTCGTTCGCTCTCTCGGGTCACATGAGATCTCGCCATAGCGTTTATCTCTTTACAGCGCGCAGGCGGTGGTAGTACGCACGCCTTAATCATCGTACATGCATAAAGCCCACATTAAACAATCTAGTATAAAAAAGGGGGCAAATACTTGTGTAAACTTACTACTACGCATACACGTCCACTTTTGTATTTAGTAATTCGTAGCTATACTCGTAAAATTCTATATAGATTTATAAATATACTAGATTTAATAAATCTAAAAAAAGCACTAATATAAGAAATAAATTTGAGATATTTCGATAAAGTTACTTGAAAAATTATCAAAATGTCAGGATATATTCTATTTATAACTGTAAAGACATTAAATTATAAATAGAATCATAACTCTCTGCGTTAGAAAACTTGTAAGGATCTGAGTAAACTTGGTGTTATGTTGTCACATATTTATAAAATGTATTTATTAATTTGTGTGCGCGGACAATAAAGCACAAGCTATTACGTATCGTTTTTAATGCACATTAATATATTTGATCTATATATTATTATTTAATTAGAATGTGTCTATAATTAGTATATGTTTCTCAATATAATACGTCTATGTTAATAATGTTTTCATCTATACTGTGAGTTTAATACTATAATATTGCAATTTAACACATACACACACACACACACACACACACATTTGTAAATAAAATTCTAATATCAAATCTCACAGAGTGTATAAAATGGACTTAATATCATGAACCTAATACGGCGTGACGGCACTTCTCCGCTTTCCGCACGTTTCCTGCTGCGCCGGAAACCCAACGGGCACGCGAGGACATATAAAAGCCTCTATTAACCCTATATAGATATTTGCGGATCCATATATCCTCTGCGCTCGCGTGTCGAATCAACTTGAATTTCAAACACGAAATCAAGCGAAGCACTAGTGTTATTTTCTAATTAATGTAAAAAATTTTCTCAACTGATATGCGGTAAATTTGTTTCGCTGTTGCTCATAGATATTAGATTTTCCTTTGTTCATTTAAAGTTTTCCAATAAGAGAAGTAATTCTCTATATTGGAAAGATGGAAGAAAACAGTTGCTTTAGAATCTTTGAAACGATTGTTTTTCGAAAAGTTACCAAATATTGGCGTACAGTGTGAAAATACTTTACTGCGTCTTTGATGTTTAATTTATTTAAAAAATATAATAATCAATAGTAATATGAAATCCTTTACAAACATAATGGAAAACTGAAAAACAGTATCCCCACACTTTTCTGGAATACGAAATCATTATTGCAATACACTTTAAGGTAATGTTTTAAATGTATTATCATAAATAAGAGAATCGAGATAAAATCTGCGTATCGTATATTGAATATTCTAAGCAATTGTAATCTCTATATCTTCAAAAATATCGTTCACATTCCGCTTCACCTTGTACGTTTCTCGCTTTGAAACATTCTGTTTACATTGTCATTTACATACCTCTACGAATTTCGCGCATGCTTATGACGATTCACCTCCAAACTGAATTATCAAACACTTTTCCTCTTTCTTTTCTTATTGGTGCTTCGGCGTGTTTTCAGAAAATCCTTATGCATCACTGTGGAGATGCTGCATATCACGTTTACATGGGCATTTCACGGCGAGAAAAATACGTACGACACCGATGACAAAGCGTTTCGCGAAACTGCGAGCTAACTCGCATTGACGAAAAGACGCATCAACGGGCTTTTTGAGTGACGTCAGTCGTTCACAGCCGTTTCATCTCCCACCCTTCTCGTTTTCTCTCTCATTTCATCTTATCCCTCTCTTTCGTGCCACCTCCTACTGGCTTATGAGATCGAGAATCGACGCGAAAGTTCCGTATCTTCACGGTCGAATCCGTGATATCATCCGCGTCTTCTTCACAGTATCTAACAGCTGCGTTTACACACGCTCGAAACATGTGCGAGATATGTGCATTCTCCATACTTATTTCACGATTCTTTTCAATCTCTTTATCAAAGTTTGGATTATTGACGTTAACGCACTCTATATATGCAATTGATTGTAATCCTATATGTATAATTTGCGCAACAGCATACACATATAGGTGATGGTGACGATGGAATATGATAATGTATGCAGGATCCAATAACTTTATATGTATCGTATGATATACATAAATAATTTTAAATGTTAAAAATGACTACTTAATGTTACTGTAATTAATTATTCTTGAATTGATAATAAAGAGCAACTTGCCAGGACGTAGATATAAGATGAAAATTAGCACAGTCGATTTAATATTATTATAATTCAGTATACTTGTACCCAACAGTAAATTACATTAGACAGTGTTAAATAAATTTAATATTCAGTTTTTAATTCATATAGCTTTGAGCTCAGTATAACTTTAACTTTAAATACTTCTATATGAAAATCTTACGTGTTCACTATCTTATATATTTTTTATAATGTTCACCGATTAAAAGCTCTTGTTCTAAGACTTTTGCATTCTTTTTTGCTAAAAGGAACATTATTAAATTGTACGATCAAAGTTATCGGGTCGTGTCTGATTTGGAATGCACATAATACACGAATATAGTATCAATGATTTGAACGGTGTGAAATATTTTAAATATAAATATACGTTTAATTGTTGTATTTCGTATTTAAGTAAAAATATATCGTGTGCATGTGCGTGAATGCATTGAGATTTTTTTTAGAATGAAAATATTGAAGAGAATTAGAAAAAAAGTTCGAAAGAATTCCATAACTTTTAGTTTAAGTAAATGTTATACGTGAACGTAAGATACAGTTTGAAGGTTACGGGAGTAACGTAGCGTCCCGATGACACTGGCCGTCGTCTAGAATGACATTTAAGAATGGATCATGTTAAGAATGAAAAAAGCATATCACCTTGCAAATGGCAAATTGCGGACAGCCTGTCTGTCCTCGGTTTGATATGCAGATTCTTTAGTGTTGCTGCACCACGAATCGTGATTCATGATTCGCGGAAATTTGTCATGATGTGCATTAAATCTTGCAAATAAAGAGCGATCGAATAGTGAAATTATATAAACATGCATTATGCAGTTTCGAATTTAACTTCGAACTTAAATGTTGCAGCAATATATTCATAAATGTCCAGCGTGTATTAAAAATCAGCAGAACGTAAATACAAATTGCCTGATGTAACAAATGAAGAAAATATTCAACTCATTGGTGTTAGCGTAGTTTTGTTATTATTATTCTGTAGATCCATTCTCTCACAGTCACGCAAAGTTCACCATAAGATGACATATTTTTACATTGAGAAAACGCTTAAAATGAGCCAAATTTATCGGTGAAGGTTATCTAAATTGTCCTAACTAGGGCACAAAGACGTCACGCAGTGCATTCGTGCGCCTTAAGTTCTTCTAACTACGCAGCATCCGGGCTTTGACGATTAAAGACCGACCACGTAAAGTGTTCGCTGTCCTTGTATTCAATATAATGTTTCATAATCCATATAATCAATTATTATCCCGACTATAATACAACAATTATACTCCAATTTAGACAATTCTGATTGAATTCCCTCGAATAATCAAAATGAAAATTATATTTAAACAAAAAAGTTTTTAATTTTGATATTTACTTTTACATCTCTTAGAAAATATTACATATTTGTAATCTTTGGTAAATTATTGTTATAAAATTCTTCTCGAATTTATAGTCTAACGCTATATTATACGTTAATATCACTTAATTTTCAAACTGTATATAAAATTTATAAAACAACTATAATTTTTTAGAAATATTTTAATTACTAATATGACAATTATTGTAATAAGAAGATTATTATAGAATCAAAATTTTTGAACGCACTATAAATATAAAGATTCGTTTATAACATAGCAAATTAATTATTATAATTATTTTCAATATTAAAATACTAATAATAAATATATTTTTAATTATTTCTATTGTTCATTGATGACTTCAAACACAACAGTTAAAGTTAAAAAAATATTATCATTATAAAAATTAAAATTTTGCACGATTAAATCCAAAGTGAATAAGTTTAGAATAATGCAAAATTAACGAGAAAGAAAATTTTTCGATAGTTGTCTTCTGTAGAATATACAAAAAGCTGATTGATGTTGGCTAGGCGAAGAATTGATGATGAGAGTCATAGAAGAGGGATGAATTTAATGCCGGGAAGTGCCCTCATTATCGCACCAGTCAATCTCTTAATCTTGTCGCGCGTTTAACGCGTTCATCACGTATGTCACATATAACACTACATAAGCTACAGCGGTGTTTCGTGAAAATTTTTTCGCGTGTATTCAAATTAATTATCCAATTCACTTTCTGGCTAAGTAAAAGCATTGTTATTCCTATTAGTCTACTTTTCACGAAAATGAAATTAATAAATTGCAAATTTAGTAAAATACGTCCTCAATGGACGAACTTAAACAGACAATTTTTCTTCTTATCACTACAATTTATATAATATTACAACATTGCCGTTGTATTCTATTTCCATTTTATATACTTAAACTAAAAATATTACTTTTTAATCACACACATACGTATACACGTGCGCACACACACATAATGCCACCACTCAATGTCTTTTTGAATTTAGCAAGTGTAAATAGCTTTAGTCTAAAAAATTTTGTTAACTTGCATTTGAAAGAAACGTGTATTTAAAAAAAATACTTTAAATAGTGACAGTTATTATTATTAGTTTACTTTGTATATACGTAAAAGTGTATAGGTACGCATACAAATATGACATACGTGCATGAATAAAGAAAGGTAATAACACTGCTCATTTCAAACTTCTTCTTTCTTATTACCAATATAATGTAGACAAATGTTGTTTAGATACAAAATTTTTATAATTTTGAAGAGAAAGCATTACAGTGACAATTTTTTTTTTAGTAGAAGACATTTAAAGTGTGGAACAATAAAACTCGTAAACCAGAGTATTTTTAATATTTCAAAGTTTTGATAACTTTACAAGGATTAATACTTAGGTACCTTATATCTTCTGGATTAACAGAAATATTTTTAAGCTTTATCTTTTATTTTTGAAAACAGGCTATACGTAGATAAGACTTGTTAGATCAATCGTCATAAAAAGTCGCCACATTAACATAACAGATAACTGGATATGTACGTAAATTTAAAGAGATAAAATAAAAAAGATGCGTGCAATTTCTAAAAATTAAAAAGAAAATAGATTTTTTTATATATACTTTTCTTATACGTGTCTTCATTTTATCTTATTTAAGATATGTTAAAATTCAAACCAACTCTTTAAAGAAAATATATCACTTTTAATTTACTTTTTATACATTTTAGGAACAATGTGTGCCACGAGAGCCACTGATGGTACATGGTATGATAATTGTATGTATGTATAATTATAAATAATGACACTACAATAGTATATTTCATGATGACGTTTGTGTTTATAATTAAAATATCAAACTAAATAAAAAATCCAGCAGAGGTTATCAGTGGTGGCAAGGAATGTGCTAAATAGACAAAAATATAAAAATATTGTGAATAAAGATTACCAAATATTGTTTGAAGACTTTACCGTTCGAGTGATATAGTGATACTTACAAAATATCAAATAAAGATTTTATTGGGATTGCTGGAGTGAGAAAGAGCTACTTATTCGTCTCTTTTTCTCTTTTTGCTTTCGTATTTTTGCAAGTTTTTAAATATTTGCGATTGTCCTATTATCATAAATCTCTCATCTTATATGTGTATACAGGGTGAGTCTTTCCATATTCGACAAAATTTTTGAGAAGGTAGAACGGATCGAGGTGAACGGAAAAGTCCTGTACCATTTTGCAATTTTCGTAATAGTTAACGAGTAATTAATTATTAAACATCGTTGTCTTAGGCTGGCCTACCGCCCAATTCGAGCGCGTGGCAAGATGTGACCGCCCGGCGATCGATATTGCTATGTGCACATCTCACCACGCGCTCAAATTGGGCGGTAGACCGGCCTAAGACAACGATTTTTAATAATTAATTACTCGTTAACTATTACGAAAATTGCAAAATGGTACAGGACTTTTCCGTTCATCTCGATCCGTTCTACCTTCTCAAAAATTTTGTCGGATATGGAAAGACTCACCCTGTATAAAATACAGGTGTATATATGGCGTATATACACTTGTATATGTATATTTGTATATTTATGTATACATACACATATTTAACCATGTATAATAGTATTTTAATCTCTGTCTAGAATACATTCTTAATTTATTTCCATGTGTGTACAATTATAAACTGTAATTCTGTGTATACAGTGTACATAGACTGTATGTATTATGAACAGAGAACAAAGACACTTAGTTCTTGTAACACTTACCTATGTTTGCTCAGTTAAGGATATATTTTGAGAATTATTAGGATCAATGATTAATGCTTCCTCGTTCGTAATAAAATTTGTCTTCTTGGAAACCTCCTCGATCTTGTGGTCGTCACTAGACACACTGGACTTTCTAGGCATAATAGGATATTCTGAAGAATTCGCAATATTTCTTTGTCTGTTTGAGAAAATTGAAATAGAATTAAATCGCGTATTAGGCACAAAATGTTTAAATTATATAACACAAAATATTTAGGATATCCATTATTTTTTAACACATACATATAAATGTATATTATACAATATGCACACAGGATACAAAATAGAATATGTACAATTTTTTGTCTACCTAATATCCGCATTACTTCTGGAGAATGACCTCTTTAAGTCGCTATCTTGAGCTTCCTCTACTACAGATTTGGATCTCGATCTCACTTCTTCGTTTCTTTTCAAGTGCAACTTCGTCTTTAATCCATTTCTATCTTCCTCCCCATTCCTGTTTTTCTTATCTAAAGATATGTTAATATTCTCCAAAGCACGATCGTAATCCTCTGGATTTTTTGAAGTTTTAATATCATATTCCTGCTTTGTTACCTAAAAATATAAACAAAAATATTGATATAACTTTTATTATTACATTGTTAATATTTTAACTTATTATTGTTATTACGTACGTTTGTAAACATAAACATTTATTATAATATCGTATTTAATTATTATTTGTCTGCTTATAATAAGTTTTAAAATTTTAAATAATGTGGTAGCTGTATTTATTTGTCTCACAAGAGAGACCTTATTAAAGTATGAAAATATTAAAAGGGAATCTCTTTGCTAATCATTTTTTACAAAAAGTTTATAATTACAATAGTAAAATATTTTGCACATTACATCTGTCTATTTACGTCATTTTAACTAATGATCACCTCATTTTGCGCGGAAGAGGAAGACAGTGATACGTCAGGATGCATATTGATGCTCTCTTGTCCGCGCGAATCATCTGACTTGGTGATGATCACTGGTATTGGATTGAGAGGGGTTGTCGACATCGTCGCTGGCATTTGCATATGTAACTCGCCAGTTGAAGCTCTCAGACTCGACTCAGAGGTCATCGTTAAAGAACTGCTACTGTATGTTTCATGATATTCCGGGAACGTATTTGAGCTAAGACGTTCTATAAAAGACATTGCCAATTAAGAGCTAGAAATTAACATGATTAATTCGCAACAATTAGAAACATACGGCGAAAGGGAAGAGAGATCGATAGATAGGTAGGCAAGGATAAATAGATAAGCATGCAGAAGGCAAGGAGAAAAATTATTCGGCTATATATTCTTTCACGAATGCTTCACAAATGCTATATTAAAAATAAAAATAACAAAGTAGGAGAAAATAATAAGTGTAATTAGTGAACAAATCAAAAGTAATAACATTTTTACCGGTTTTTATGCGATGCATCGCCCGAATGCGATCGAGATCAGCAGCGGAACAAAGTGGGGTGTCTACTTCGTAAGTATTGTTGAAAAGAGTATAATTGACCTCGTACTCGCCAGTCTCCTTGCGGAAAGTAATGATTGGCTGAAATCGGTGACCCCATAAAATCTCCGATGGCAAATACGAGCTTCTCGCCTGTGTCGTCATACCAGTGGATTCGATCACTCCTATCGGTGTTAATAATTGTTATCATGTAATACAATCAAGTTAAAGATTTCAAATGTCTATTGTCAAACTGCCAACAAGACGTGACAACGTTCTTACCTTCCAGTATTACGACAATTTCGAATCGCTCGCGCAACATATCGCTAGCCGATACTTTGTACAGCGGTGAGTACCGGTCGATTTTATGAACAATTGTGGTCGGCCAGATGAAGAAAATCTTATCCTCCTCTCCGTCACCTCCCACTTTTAGTTCCGTCTGGAAAAACGGCAGTAATTCACCTTCCTTAGTAACCTAAAGCATATATAAGTACATCAACAACCACGATATAGGCACTATTCATTTCTTCTTCACGTGTAGGGATATATAACATTAGACTTTACCTTTCTCCTGATCATCTGAGCACGAACGTGAGCCTCGATGATGTGACTCTTGCGCATATCGCCAACGCGAAACATTAGGCAGGGCTGATCGTCTCGTTGGCAGATGATAGCATTACGCGAAAAGAGCAGGGTCTGCGTGCGCTTTTTAGGACGTGACAGTTTGGCGAAGACGATGCCAACCATGAACGCTTGCAGGATCACTCCAGTCATCGATTGAATACACAGGGTGAAAATTGCCTCCGGACATTCGTCCGTTATATGTTTCGCCCCATATCTACATCATTAATTTATATTTTAATCGGAATGTGTAATACTATTGGCAGTTTGACAATAACATAATTTCTAATTACATTACATTAAGAAGATATAAGAAACAAGAATATATACAAGGAGAAAAAGATTGAAATCGTGATGATAATTTTGACGGAGAGAAAACGGAAGAAAAAGATGCAAAGTAGTATAACAGTAATTAATATCTAGTTATATTATAACAATATATAGTAATGACAATAATACAGACACATAAAAAATTATTATAATGATATCTACCCAATTGTGTGCTGCGTTTCGACGGAGAACAGGAAGCAGCTCGCAAAGTTGCGTATATCCACGACGCAGGGGGTGAAAGTCTCATTATTATAATTCTGGGGCTCAAGATCGCCATGACTATACGCGATCAACCACCATATAAGTGCAAACCCTAGCCAAGATAATAGAAAGTTCATGGAGAACACCAAGAGCGTCCATCGCCATTGCGCATCAACCAATGTTGTGAAAATGTCCTGCAAAGGAATCATTTTTGTTATGGTAATTGTGTGGCAAAATAGCGTGTATCTATGACAGTTATTAAAACAGTTACAATACAAACGAGATATAATTATGCAAGAAGCTTTTAATTTCTTCGACTGGTTACATTTTATTAATAGAACATATATAAATAATTGAACATTTTGATAAATTGTATTTAGTTAATTGCAGTTACATTGTTTTCTTAATATTTGGTCAATGAATTATTAATTATCTACGGTTAATTGAAATAGTAAAAAACTTGGTTTAAACATATATTTAGTTAATAAGATAAAAGGACTTAAAGAATTTTAATTTGCTTTGAAACAATAAAACTTATACTTTATTTTATTGTACAAAGCTCGAATTTGTTTGGGTTAATATGTCTCTCTCTTTATTTCAATGTGTCAAGAATATTCACCTGAAGATACCGCCGACGTCGTTTGGCGACATTTCCCTGAACAATGTTACAGTCGCCGTGTTTAAAAACAACTCTTTTGCGGACTCTTCTGGAGCTAAATTTGGTTTGGCGATATCTTAAAAAGAAATTTAAGAAATTAATTTACAAACTCTTAATCTTTCATTCGTGCAAATTCGGACTGTAAATAAATAGATTAGTTATTTCAAAAATAATTTTTAACAATTCTAGAATTTTAGTCAGTGAAACTGCAACGTACGGTTTACACATTTTATTACGTAATCTCGTCGTTTCACAGAAATCTGTGGATTAAAGACCTTGAAAATTTACAGGTTGAGATTTTAGCAACGATACTCATCGAAAAGATCCATCTCTTTGAACTCTCGTAAATTTGTAATTGTACTTACTATTCGACACAACTAGTGAGATTTATTGACTTAAAAAAATTTGAATAACGTTCTATTTTAAATAAGTTAATAAAGAATATACAAGAAGAAGATAGAAACTAAAATAACGTAAATTCTCACAAGCTGACTTTTCCATGCATGTGTGTGTGTTTGAAAAAAAAAAACTTTAAAGTATGTATGACGTTCACAAATATTCGTGATGCCAAAAAGCGCGTGGTACAAAGCCGCCGGCGATCTATTTGCGTCACGGGTCAATATGTCAGGGTTGAAAGTTGCGCGAAATCACGCGAATTTAGAACGCCATTGACCAGACAACGGCTATTTTGTTTGAAACTAAATGATGAACGATTAATTCGAGATCTCGCGTCAAAATTATATAATCGTGAAATTAATCTCTTCCAATAATTTTATATTACCCTGAATATACGCGTGATGATGTAATATGCGTAATGATATGTGAAAAAGGTGGAAAAGAAGAAAGAACATATGATTGTTGAGTAAATTATTGTAATTAATATAATGTCACTTTTATATAAAGTAGATAAATAAATAATTATATAAATCATTTTACTATAAAATAAATTACCGAGAAGAAAATATAATCAGCATTATACAGATTAATAATTAAAAGTTCCCGCATGTATGCGAATGCATGCACGATGTGCGCGAGTGCGTACACGCATAATAATTTTTCAATAAAAAGAATAATAATAAATAAATGCTATCGAATAAAAGAAAAATGTCAAATTAGAAACGTGACTCGCTTGACACAATCTTCCAACGAGATTCTCTTCGACGCTAATGCTGCTAAGCTTCTTGCCGTAAATTGCTATAATCGTGAACACTTTCTCGGCTCGATGAAACGTGGGCGATCATTTCGAAACGAGAAATACTTCTCGCATACAGTCTTAACGAAATATCTGCTATTTAAAATCCACTATTCAGAAATTCCGTGGTTACTGGGTATCGTGATATAATGTTCTTTTGGTGTGAAGAGATCGTCATTGTAACACGTGTACCTAATATTTCAGATCATCAGGAAATATTTACTTTACGAAAGTGTCCTTTATAAAAGTGCAACAGCACTTTTCAACGGTATTTCACGTACAATGATTAACTATAACTTTGTTGAGGAGAAATCGGTTTCAAATTAAGAGAATTAAGAAAATTTTCCAGTAAAATAGCATCGAAGCATTTTATATGTATAAATATATGCAGTTGATATGATCTAAATGTATAATTCGCATTACATGCGAAACAGGGAGAAAAGATAAGAAGAAAAGAGAGACTTATTGAGAGTGATTACTTGAGCAATTCTTCGCGCCAGGCCGCTTCGCCGGAAGTCGTCGCTTTGACAACCATCATAGACACTTGTGAGATCGCCCGTCGCAGTCCCGATAACCTGCCCGTCTCACATAGATAATAAATCTTCTCAGGATCCGACGAACGACGTCGTTCTAAATTCGTTATTTCCATTTCTTTGCGATCGGCACAAGATCGATGAATTTTAATATCCGCCGCTCATTTAACTCATTTTTCTCTATCCTTTGTATCATGAAAGTAAGTAATTGTTTCATTTCGCCGAATAAATCTATTGAATAAAATTGAGAGAGACAAAAACTGTACAGTATAATATAACTCGCTAAAATAAAAATATATTTACCTATTACTTTACTAGAAATATTATATTATACAGCGTAATTCAATTTCTTTTCGATAGATTTTTCAATGAATTCCAATAAAGTTTTTCTAAAAAAAATTTTTTTAAGTTAATTTATAAGTCTATCTAGTTATAAGTTATTGAAAAACTTTGTAGGAAAAATTGTTTCAATAATAATATAAAATTTTTGCCTATATCTGTGGTAATTGTAATCGATAAATAGGTATTATAAAAATGTATCGTGTCTTTTTCATCAATTTAGCTAAGATAATAATGACTGTCGGGCATAAAGAACAAAATTTACAACACGTTTTCTGACAAGCCATTGTCAAAATATTATCTTTAACTCGGAAGAATAAAGAGCTCGTCGAACATTATTCGCATACCAGTTAATAGCTGAAGAATTTTCTAAACAATGTTAATACTAGTACCTATATATTTGCCGTAATTTTCCTAGCACTGGTCTTAAGATTTTTTACACCTCTTTTAAAACGAAGGTTATCGTGTCGGAAATGGAAATAGACTTAGGTCACTCGTAGACGCAAACTAATTGTAAATACAAAAGGAACAATACCACGGAGTTGTTGGTAAAACGTTTTGACAAATGTATAATGTTATTGGATGGAATACTTTTAGAATAGAACACAATGCACAGATGAACTATTTCAATTGAAATATATATTATATGTCGACCATTTCTGCATTTACCATTGATAATAAATTTACAAATTGCATATCTAACTGACATTCTCGACTGTCATATGAGATTTTGCTGAATAAATCAAATATATTTACATATTACGATAATAATAATAATGAATAATCCTTCGTTCTCATATCAGCGATGAACAGATGCAGCTATATAACATTATCGAAATAGAAGTTCGCTATTTATTTCGAAAGAATTGATTTACGAAGCTTTTTGATTAAATAATTTTTTCTTCAGTTTAATGAGTTTTGGAGCATTTTTTTTTAAACATTGTGTATTGTTTTGGTATAGAATGTATATTTTTGGTGTACTTTTACACTAAATTGATTACCGAGATCAGATACAAACACGGCTAATCAAGATCGTTGGTTAAAGAATCGAGGCCGACCGAATACTGCAAATGTAATTTCGGTACTTGGCGAGTTTCTCTTTGTCTGTTTGGCACGATCTGTGGAATTTGTTGAACCGTCACAAAGAGGGGAATCAATGATGCTAAACTTTTCATTATGAAAATAATACAAATGGACGATTACAAGATATACTCAAATATTAAAATGTAAGTCAAATGACAACATTGTAATTTTGGGATTCGTGATTCAAACAACATTAATTAAAAAGAAAGAAATTAATTTAAGAGCTCAACTCGTCGTTCTCTTAAAAGATAAGTTTATTACTGCAATTTTAGGTATAATCTTTACTTTCATTAAGGTAGAGAAAGATTTCTGATAACTGTCCAATGACAGTAATTATAGTAACAATATATCGCTGCTTTCAGAGTCTCGTAAAAGCGCACATTATATTGCGGATTTTACATCGTTCTGCCTATTTTCGTGACACTGTTAGGAAATATGTAACGTTGAGTGAGATGAATATCATAAGCATTCTGCACATGAAGAGAATCGACTTTATAATCCGTTTAGTACCGTCGGAGTTTTAGATATCTCTTTATAAATACAACTTTATATAAATACCTTAGTTTGATAATTTTCTTGATAGCTATTTTATCCAATTCTCTCGAATAATCCCGATTTTAATATACAGCCGACGTATATTATTACCTTCTATTGTATGGAAAATAACATTAACAAGCAAACGCGGTTTAACTGGTCATCGTGACGAAGTTCTTTGCAACATTTATCGTACACGGAAGCGATAAGCTTCTTTCTATCGACACGAGCTTATGTAACGCATGCATATTTATACAAGGTTATGACTATTGTTTCGAAGAATTGTTTCAAACGATACGCACAAAAGTTAAATGAAATTTTTTGTAACTCGTAATAATATTTTATTATATTAGTGTTTCTTGTTTTTATACTAATCATAATTAAAATAGAAATACATACATACAATACAGTAAAATTATTATGTATATACATTATACATATATCATGCATTTTATTAATTAAGAATATAAAAATCAAATGTTGTAAACCTGTAATAAATATTAATATTGATATGTTTTAAATTTAATTAAAAGCCAAAAATCTTGTTTTCCAACTATAATTTTATTATTAATTTGTGGAATTATTCTGAAATTATTTTAGCAGTACTATACATTCGCATTTTCGTTGTATTATTTATAAAAGAATGTAACATAATGTCACAAACAAATCGACAAAAGATGATAAAAAACCGTTATAAATCTGTCAGTCTTAATCGATTGATTACATGTATGTACATATTAATTATTTACTATTTAGAACACTTTGTGAATAATTGACTTATTAACGAATATTTTTTAAATTATAATAAAATTCTCTTATGTACTTACATCAGTAAGTAATTAAGACAAAGTTTCATGGTATTATTATGCAATCTGTGACTGTTTAATAGCGTTCTTTGAGTTCTAAACAGTGCAACAGTGGTCAGTCAACTAACCTACACTGCATATTGCCGTCTAAAACATTCTTGCGATAAGCGAAAATGAGTTAATGTTATAATTGCAACTCATTATGGCTGTCATTTTACTAAACTGCAGGGTTGGGAAAGTTACTTTATAAAAGTATCTAGTTACAGTTACAAGTTACCAATTCTGAAAAGTAACACGTTACATTACTTTGCAGTTACTTTCCTGCAATGAAAATAAAAATATCAAATCTGCATTTTAATTGTAAAGCGTTGATAAAGGCGTTTATGCGTAAATGCAAGGCCTGATGCAATCTGTGGAGGTTTAAAGAATATATAAAGGAACTATTAATGTACCTATTAAATTAGTTACTTGTTATCGAAAAAATGTAACTGAGTTAAGTTACAGTTGCAGACGGAGAGAAAGTAACGAAGTTACGTTAGAGTTACAAAAAAAAAGTAATTGTAACTGTAACTTCGTTACACGTAACGAGTTACTTCCCAACCCTGCTAAACTTATAGTGGTTGTCTGATATTTTCAATGCAACAATTCGATTTATTTTATCAGATTCATTTTTAAATGATGACATTTCTTACCTATTTAATAGAGGACCCGATTCGCCTTTAAAGCTGATCCTATTGAAGGTTCTTCTTTTAAATGTACTTAAAATATTTCCCCTCTTCCGATTGACTGTTTCACCTATCTCTTCCGCAGAATCTTCGCCGCATAATTTTACTGCAACTGCAGCCGCCGGCATTGACGTGTGCACCAATAATTCGCCTAAAGGCACAGTATGGGAAACTGTGATAGTCGAGGGTTCTTCCTCGTGATCCTTGTCCATTTTTACTTGTTACCCTTATTTAAATTTGTTTTTAATCCATTTCTGGGACATTATTTGATTAGATAATTGATTTACATTAGATCAAATTTTAATTAAAATTCACAATTTTTTAAATAAAGACGAAGAGTATAAATGACAAATTGTTCCATTTCGATTACCTTTTATAAAATCTAAATTTTTTAATTTATATATTATAAAATTATTTAATGGTGGTAAAGAAACGTTTGTTCATTACCATTAAATAAATTTTACGATTAATATTTAAGATATTTAGGAATTTTTTAATTATTTCATTTTAATGATTTTAGAGTATGAAAAAGATTTCTTTTTGTCGAAGATTATAAAATTGTATTAACATGACATTAAAAAAGTTTTATATTGTTTTATTTTTAATTATCGTGTTTTAGATAAAAAAATTTGCAATAGATTCAACAGACGTGATTTGCTAAGAAACTCGAAACCTCAAGACTCGCGTGGGTTTAAAGATCAGACGTTGTTCTTCGTATTCAGATTTATTTGATTTTCTTGAATTGATGGCGAACATGTTTTAACAATTTCGAAGGATCTTAAATAGTTTCCTCTGAGGAAATATAATGTACAGTTTATTCTTGGGCTTAATACTTTACTTACTTTATAGGGACACTTGTTGCTCATGTATATTTATACATTCTAGATTCCCTTAATTTTTCACCATGTCCTCCAATTGCGAAAATATAATTTGAATAGTATTTTATTCAAAAATTCAAATATTTTACACTAGTTATATTATCATGCGTATTATACATATAAAAAAATATTTAACTTTTTACTTGTATAATTTACTTATATTTATTCTCGATTTTTATGTTAATTGCAACTTACTTTCTTCTTTGATTTATTCAATGTGGTAGTTTTTATATATAGAACAATTAATTAATTCTCTTTTGCCGAACGATGAGCGATCTTATCAATCCAATCTCACTACTATGCATTTAGCTTTGGTCACACACTAACTCACTCGATATGCCGTCACTCCACGAGGATAGATATTTAATTATAACTAATAGCTCCTCGAACACAGCTTACGGTGTAATCACAAATTGAAATCTATGATAGCGCAGCGATGGCAAGAATCGATCCACAGATTGTTCGGGAATTCGTGGCCGTCATTTTGCGCGTTCGACCGAGGCTCCGCCGAGATTGCGGCAAAGCGCGATCGCAAGAATCGCCAAGCGAAAATAAATCGCGCGAGTGCGCGTGGGCGCGCGTGAGCGTGAGTGCGTACAAACGTATGCACGTCATCATGAAAGAGGAACGTGACATGACGTCTGTGTGACCACGCTGCGCGGGATATAAGATTGCGCCGCGGTTTCATCAACTTTGATTTTGTCGATTCCGGCACGGCGATAAATTCATGTCAATGCGCAATTTGCGAAAATCCCGACAACTATGGCAGCTTGATATGAGAACGGTTTTCGATAGTATTTCAAGTGGCAATCGAAAGTCAGTGTCGCTATAACTAATTATTCTCTGAATTGAACGTTGAAATTAATTTGTTAATCTAAGAAAACTGAGGGTGTTTTCTTCGCCAGTGATTAATTGAAATAAAAACGTAATGGGAAAAATTATTCGACGTATCTGGCAATACTTTATTGAACTTTATTGAAGGAATTACACTTTTGTGTAATTTCTTTAATAAAGTATTGAGATAATAGTTAATCTAAAACATTATTACTATATAATTTAATGTACGCTGCAGAGACGTTCGTCAAATACGTTATCTTGAACATTTTTTTTAACGTGACGTAGAGAAATGTTAAAACTATTTTTTTTAGGAAAAGATTTTGGGGAAATAATATCTATGTTCTAATTTTCATTCTTATGTAACATTTCCGTTGATAATTCTATTGAAAAAAAAAATTGTTAAGCTGTGATAAGTCAGTTAAATAATAAATATAATTGTTAACAATTATTCTTTGCCTCAAGCTGCTCTTAATATATTTTTTCTATGCCATATATTCTATTAGTTTCGACGTTTTCAATGAACTTTGCACCTCCGTCAGCGAATAAATCATAGAAGACAGGTGTGGTTAATTAGCCCGGGAATTAAATTTAAATTGCAAAGAAGAGAAACAGCAACGGAAAGGTGAGTAGTCTCGTAAGCATCTATTTTGGTCCTCGTTTGGAAAGCACTCAAAAACTGAACAATGTTTCTCGTATAAAGAATATGCGATGCATAATAGTAAGCTAATTGAGACTTATGAAATAACTAAAATTTTACAAAATGTGTAAGCCTAAATAGAAAAATTATATATTAAAATTAATTACCAAAGAAATTAATTACCAAATGAATTAATTTCTGAAATTTAATCTACTATATATAAGCGTTTCCGTTAGCTGAATTATATTACATTTATTTACTTTACTATTTGATTACAAAAGCTTATCAACCCTAACATTATTCATGTGCGATGAAATACCTCAGTCTTAGAAACCCACTAAATCTACAGAGTAAAAATTTTTTCTTTCACAATTAAAGAGGAACCTGTGTACTTATTTTTATGCGGGAGATATACAGAATACCGTCAACTTTTAATCCTGTATTAAAGAGAGAAATAAAAACTGAGGTACAATGATGTAAAAAGAATCGCGCGAATAATGCGGGGTAAATTTACAGTTGAATTTCCAATTAAATAACACAATATCATATACGTATTGTACGCATCTATATACATAATTACATATTTATATCTCGAGTTATATTTACATGAATTGAAAGTAATTTCTCTAGAACCTTATATACAGTCTATGTATGTACAAAGTACTCTTGCAGCAACCGCAATTGTTTTAATCCGAATCAGGGTGTCCAGCAAACTCAATGAAAAAACAAGTAACTTTCAAGTAAGACCCCTATCTAAAACTAAACAATATATGGTAACACGCCAATGTCGGTCACAAGGCAAGATGTAGGTAGCCCAACTTGCAAAACTTAAATCTTTCCACGTATACGATAAACTGCGTTATGTCCGGAAAAGAAATCGGCGCGTAGTACTAATGTGGAAAGAAACGGTATATAGATTCACGATTTTCAGAAAGATTTAAGATTTGCAAGTTGGGCTACCTACATCTTGCCTTGTGACCCACATTGGCGTGTTACCATGTATTGTTTAGTCAATGAAAAAAATTCCCCGACTTTTTCAGGCTTTCCAGGAGCCGGAATTAATTTCCTCCCCCCCCCCCCCCGACCGTTTAGTGTAATTCTTTTCAAGATGCATAATTTGCGTGCATCTGTATGGTAAATCAAGTAAACGTTAAATGACGAAGTCCTTGGAAATATTTTTCACGGGAAACAAAAGTCCGGAATTCAGAAAGATAAAAATTTAAATTAAAGCAATTATACCATCTATGTATAACAGTGTGTATTTTTTTTTAAACTTTAAATTATTCAGAAAAATGTGAAACGATGTAAAAAAATCCAGACAAATCGTAAAATTCCCCGACATTTCCAGGTTTCTAAAATTCCCTGACAGTTTCCCGGTTTTCCAGATTTTCCCCGACCACTGGACACCCTGCGAATTGTTCGACTACTGGTTTTATATGCTACGAGGGTGTATTCTGTCGGACTGCCTCTCTCGCGCGATTCATAACGACACGTTCGCGCTATTTTGTCAGCTTCCGGCACCGCAGTTCCATCGCCAGGAACGCCCTCATGTTAGGATCTTGCACCTTCTCGAGGATGGTCCTCTGCAGATCCACGTCGGATCTCTCCATCGCGCTACTCAATCTCTCCGCGTATCTAATCCACACGCAATTTGCGCAGCCCGACATGCAGCAATTGGTCGGCTCCGCCAGGTCGTCGATCGAATCCTCTCTGGCGCGATCGACCCGTTCCTCGTCGTCTTTCCGCGTCGACGAGTTCCGCCGACAACAACACAGCCTTTTGGCAACAAACAGTCTCGATCGAAGCGTGGTGGAACTCATTTGTTTCGGCTCTCTGGGCAAGACGCATGCTAGTGCAAAACGTTTTCAGGATAATTAGATCAACGGAAAGAGAACGTACGCGCAATACGAATCAGCTGTTCGGCTGCGACTTGAATAAATTCACGAGAGTCTCGTCTAACCTTGTTTGGACGTTCCGGGCGTTCGAGCCATAGACCTCGCATAGATCGACGGAAAAGCTGCTTCATCAGCGCCACCGCGTGGAAATAGACGTGGGGAGAGAAAGAAACTTCTAGGAATTTCCCATGCTGCCAACTTGATTTTTGTTTGCAAGCTGTGTTTTCGATCATTAGTTGAAGGGTTGAAGGGCCTCACAGATTTAGGTTAAGGACACGGTGCCTGCACGCCCGTTTTCCGCGTACAATTGTGCACACAATTATGCTTGGCATTTCGTATCTCGCGCGTTTTTCCAACCTGACGCCTGCCCGGCGCATGCTCGTGTCACCTAACCTCGGCGCGACCGATCTCCCAGCTCGGAGCACGCAGACTTCGCCGCCCGATTTCTGCCGTCGGCGTCACGAGCGACGCTCCTCGTACCTTCGTTTCTACGTGGAGACGCGCGAAACGGGCGCGCCTTCGTCGGGATCTAAGGTGAGGCGACTTAACCGAAGCTGTCGTTTGTAAACAAGCTGTTGACGCGGCCCACGTGCGAGGCGCGGATTGACGCGGCGAGGGAGGGACGACGGGACGCGAGATGGGCCGCAAGATACCGGGGAAGAAGCACCGGGGTGTCAAGGATCCCGAGAAGCAGCGCGCGAGGCGCCTGGCGGAGTGAGTTGCACAGTAAAGAATACGAGAGCCCCAGCGCGATGGGGCCTTAAATGATAATTACTGAGCCGGCAGCGGATTTTAGGTTAGAGTCGCGCACGAACGCGGCGCCGAGAAACGTGGACGAGCAGGCGGTCCCGAAGAGCCTGGAGCGCGTGATTAGATTGAAGGAGGAGGCCGCGAGGACCGGCGCAGGCGTCACGAAGAGGAGACGGCGGAGAAAGAATGCGCTCATCTGCGTGGGGCAGCAGCGCGGGCCGGATCGCCCGCGAGCGAAGCCGGAGAAGGTCACGCCGGTGTTCCGGCAGCGGCCGGGCGAGTCCGGTCACGACTTCATGCACAGGGTGTCCAGGGACACGCACAACTTTCTCAAGGAAGTAGCGTTCGAGAAGAAGTACGACGTCCAGGTCGAACGGGACCCCGGCACCGGGGAGATTCAGGGTCTGACGAAGCGCAAGCGCGACGGGGACGACGCGGAGGCGCCGCAGGCGAAGCACAAGAATATCGGTAGGAAAAAGCGGGCGGCCGCGGCTACGTTGACGAGGCACGACAAGCGCAAGCTGAAGCTGCGCTTGAAGAGGGAAAAGGCGCTGGAGAACCGCGACGAGTTCGAGAGGTTGCAAGACAGGGTCGGCTTCGGCGAAGTCGCCCACGAACCTCCCAGACTGAAGATCAAGTCGAAGAAAATGGACGGGGATAGGAAGCCGAAGGATCTATTGTTGAACTCGTTACTGGAAGGTCCTAGAGAGGCTTCATCCGCTGCCAAGGTGATCGGTCGTTCGGCAAAGAGGAAATACCTATCCGAAGCGGAGAGGAGAAGAATAGAGACGCGACAGAACGAAGCTATTGAAGCCTACCGACAATTGAAGTCTCAGCGATCGGCTAATAGAAGCTGCTAGGGTATGTTCAAGTTACACGAAGACAATAAATTGTTTCAATAAAGCGTATATTTCATTTTCTTTTTTTTCTTATTTATTTTTCAGATTTTCTTGTTACGATTATGTTGAATGTGGAGGAGAGGGAGGGAGAAAACTGTTACAACGAAATTAATTGAAGTGTCTTGAAGTCGGATAACGTCTCGATGCTATATTTACATCTCTTAATTATTATATTATTATTATATTATGTTACATCTCTTAATTATAATTTCTCTGTCGAAGGGCATAAGCGTTTTATAGAATCCAGGTTTCTCGCTGAAAGTGGGAGCGATAAAATTTCTAGTTGACGCGTTTAACCCGTGGTCCAGACGAAGGGCTCGAGCCTCTCTTCTACCGGCAACAGATTGTTGAGCGTCTCGAGGCTCTCGAGGGTTTGATTGAGCAGCGAGTGGCACCGTGTGAGCTGCCGGCTGAGCTCGTGCACCTTGTTCATCTGCTCCGCGAACCTGGCGAATCGCTTCTGTCGATCCACGGCGTGATTCAGCGCCTTGCTAAACTCCACCTCCATGCCGGTGCACAAGGCGGCCTGCTCGGCCGCTATTATCTGCGCGTTCGTGTTTAGGTGATGCTGATAGCGTGCGCACAGATTGAACAGACCGACGGGATCGAGCCTCTCCAGGACCTCTGGGTCGCGCACGCCCGGCGGTAGGTTCAGGGTGCCGCGCATGATCGGCAGGAACATCGGGATGCTCTGTAGCTTGACTATGTCGGGGTCCTTGTCCGCTGTAGGGTCCGCTTGAGCTGGCTTCACCACCACGATACTGTGTGCCTTGTTGTCCGACGTGTTGATCTTCCTGTGACTGTTAACAGATGGAAAGGGATTGAATCGGTATAATGTTACGGTTTAGGATCGTAAAATACATTTTGAAAACTGTGATTTCCCTACCGAGACAGAAATATTATCTAAAGTATCTCGTGGCAAACTTTCTCTTTATACAAAGTATAGATACAAAATGTTGCAGTTTATGGAAGGGTATTGCTATCATCTTAACGTGTACTCTCGTTTCATTGGAAATGTCTGACGAGTTTGAAAATTGGCGACGCGACCCAATGATACCCACTTGTGATTTGTCATGCCTAGGCCGTTTTTTCGCCTGGAAATTTCGCCAGCCGCGATACTCTTCCCTCTGTAGAGCTGCGACTGTTTGTTCGTCATCTTCGGCGAGTCCCCGATAGGTCGATTCACGGTGTAGGAGATGTAGGGGAGGTCGGAGTCGGAACAGATGCTGGCGCCTGGACTGGTGCACCTTGGCGGAGTGTCCTCTGGCACTCTCTCGCGACTCGGAACGCTCTTGCCACGTCTGAGCTGACTCGCCCTTGTCTTCCCACTGTTGGCACTCTGGTTAGTATTTTGGGAGCTTTGCTCGGACCCCATTTTCAGACCTTCCGTGGCCCGCGGAGCTTCGGGGAACAAAAGTGCCCGTAGAGAACCAGCTTACAGTATACTTAGCGATATTTTGTGTTTTCTGATCATCCTCGTGGAGCGACAAGCTTCATATGTTTTACTGAGGTATGTGAGAGTTGGGAAAATTGATATATATTTGTATAAAACCACACTTTTGCGGAATATCACAGTACACCTAATGTATTTATGATATATCTTGTATCACATGATGCTATATCCCCAAGTTACTTCTGCAGATTTTACGAAAGTATTGGCGACCCCCTTTAGTATTGTTTACGTCTTCTCGTAACACGTTGTTATTGTATCCAATGCATTGAATTTAATAACGAAGAACTTTTACATGCGTACACTGCACAAAAAATTTTTAACTTACGCTTGATTCACGCTAATTTGTTGCTATTTAATATTTTTATACATTTTATGGGTGTTTTACGTATGTATTGTTTATGTACGCATCCGAATTACTTTTATCTCGTGTCTCATGATTGACCTGTTCTTGTTTTACGAAAACGTTGCTTCGAACGTCAATCAACGTCACTTTTCTATCGATCATTAACTGTGCAAAGGTGTAGTTAAGGGATTCGGGTGGTCGCAGACGTCGCAGTGCGACACTTCTGCCATCTCGAATAAGCACGTGGAAGATTCACGCTGCATTCGATGTCCAATGTACGACATTTGTTATATCCAATAGGAGAATTCGTTTTCTAGGGACTCCAACGGAGTCGCTAGAAAATCAACTTTCCCATTGGATATCAGATGCCGTACGTACGCTGCGTTTGAAAACCTCACCTGAGTGTCTTAGGCGGGTATTCATAGTCCGTTCTTATATTTAAGATCATCTTAAGTATACTCTTAATGTATTTATAACCAATCACAGAGCCGTATTAGCTTCTAAAGTCCCAGTCTACAATAGATGATTTAAGCTCTAAGCTTTAAGAAATTGGCCAATCACGGTCAAGTACGAGTAGAATACACGACTGTGATTAGTCAATTTCTTAAGGCTTAGGGTTTAAATCTCTATTGTAGACTGGGACTAAGTCCCAGTCTACAATAGATGATTTAAGCACAGTATAACCAGTATGCCCACTCTCTGTCGGCACCTTTGATCTGGGCGTTCTCAATTTTCCG